CGGGGGCAGCTGTGGTGTTGTTGTTGAGGTTGTCCTGGAGCGTGGTCTGCGTCCCCTGGCCTACCTGCTGGTTCTGCAGCAGCATCTCCTGGATCCTGATCTGCTGGAGAATGGCTGGCAGCTCGTAGTGATGGAAGAAGTAAATCATCGAATGCTGGAGAAGGCAAAAGGGAAAGGAGTCACTGACCGGGCCCGGGCTGCGCGCCCAGCCGTACCTTAAACTATGCTCTCCTCTCGCTGCAAAGACAGCAACTGGGCAATTCAGCTGCTCTGATGGCCAAGAGGTCATCTGAAATTTTGGAAAAATGTAGCCCTTCTACTACAATTCCTGCAAGCCGCTGTCAGAGGTTTTGTATTTTCTCTCCGAAGACAGGCCGTGGGGCACAACCCCCCTTCCCTTCTAGGGGCTGAGAACAGGAAAGGGGGAGGCACCTCTCCAGCCCAGCCTCAGGTCCCTCCCTCCAGCCTGCAGCAGACAGCGGCACGTCAACAGCCAGAGACACACAAAAAGTTTGCGTGAACTGGGACATCACAGACACCAGTTTGGAGCTGGTCTCGCCAGAATCTTCACTGCAGAGATCTGACCAACTCCTCAGCCTCTGCATGGGAGATCCTCAGGGGGATTTCTTCCAGAAAGATGGGATACAAATCCCTCCCTAACACCTTCCCAAACTCACTGGACACCAGCCTACCGTCAGTCACATGGCTGGATTTGTGCCAGTGACCAAGATGTCCTGCTGCTCGATGGCCTCCTCCTGCTGTTCCATTTCCCAACAGGGATTATCTCAATCCCTTACACAAACAACGATTGCTCCTCGAACTCAGCTTGACGAGAAGGTTGATAAAAACCAAACAGCAGTTGATTTCCTTCACTTTTTAACAGCACAAGCCGCGTGAGCCATCAGCAATGCAACAGCTGAAACCGCACGCGGAGCGAGCAGGACCCAACTCACAGGATGGCACCTGCCTCCACGCGCCCGGCTGCTCACCTGGATGAAGAGCCACGAGGTGACGAGCGCCAGGCTGCTGTACTGCCCGTTGAACCGGTAGTGGTAAGCGTAGAAGGCAAAGTGGTACAGGTAGAAGAACCTGGACAGAAAAGCAGCAAATATCAGGATACATGAATGGATGGGACAAACCACGTGAGTTTCTCTCTACCCCTAACTCCATTCTGAGCTGGGGCACTTTGCACAGGGTGGTGCAGGCCCCCACTAACAGGTAATTAGTATTGACCGCTACGAACCACTCTTCGAGAGGGCAAAACAAAGGGCTGAGGCGATTCCTGAGACCCTGGCACAAGACCCAGAGTGGAAGTGTGGACTGTGTGTCACTTTGGACCCTGTGACATGCAGGGCAGCTCCCAAGGAGACATACAAATGCTCTCAAGAGTGGAAGCCCTCCTGCCTGGGAGGGCTGGAAAGGACATGGGGCAGCCTTCTCCCACCGGAGAACGGGACACGCGGTGAGAAGGCGCAGTATGGGAAGGAGGTCCCAGCCAGCTCCTACCTGAGCCAATGCCTCTTGCTCGTATTGGTGTGGCAGCAGATGGCATCGTACTGGTCGGCCAGCCACACGATAAGGATGATGTAAAACGCAGTCGTGGTGTCGTTGAAGAACTCTGACATAATGGCCTCCATACCTACGGGACAAAGGGTGTCTGACATGAGACGCTGTGGGGCACAGACAGCTGGGCAAAGGGCTCCCCGAAGGGGCACGTGAAGGAACCCTCTGTGGTCTCAGGGCTGGGGCAGCACGACTGCACAGCAAAGGCCACAGCAGACAAGTGAGCTCCGTGCGAAGCAGCAGCGAAGGGCAAACACGTTTCTCTGCTGACTGCAGTTGCTCCACGGGCCAGAGGAGGGGCAGGCCCTGGACAGCACACATTTTGGGGGAGTTTGTAGTTTGTTTTTTAAATTCAAATTGTGCTCATGACACGTGGTGCAGGAAACGTGAATCTGAAATGAACTAAAGTGACAGACAAAGCTTCAGTTGATGTGATTTCCAAATAACCTGCTTTTCCAGGGGACCCAGAAGAACAATGTGGCTCACTGTGCCACCAAATTCCAGAGCCTTCCACCTTGTGATGAGCAGACACACTAACCACCTGCTGTGGCCAGGTCAGAACAGGGAATTGTACTTTCTCCAGATCCCAAAGGGACTTTCTGCACACACACAAGGAGTGAGCTCGTGTCCTTACCCACTAGAGCCAGAATGACCGTGAGCAGGGGAGCTGCAGGGAACGCAATTGTCATGTTCATTTCCAGCATCTGTAACAGGTCAACTGCAAGAAGGAAAATATATTACAACAAAAAGTGGAGGTGGGGCCAGGGAACCCTCCACCCCCACATTACTCCCCATTCAGAGCACCGCGACATGCAGAGGAGTCCACTGTCCCAAGCCCACCGCCCCTGACACCCATCGAGAGACAGAACAGCTCTCACAAGCATGGCGACAGGGGCACAGGGGGGATCTACTTCCTGTGCAACTGCAAGCAGGACCCTTCTAAACAACAACAGTCAAGAGTGCATATACGACAGGCTGTGCTGGAGCAGGCACAGTGTCCAGTACACCCTAAATCCCTTAGGAAAATCCTTACCAATGAAGACAAATATCTGATGGTGCGAGTAGCGCAACAGCATGGAAACGGAGAGAGTCTGAAACAGGAGAACAGAAGCCAGCGTTAGAGCCAGGCAGTCGCCTTCGGAATCCCACCACGGCAGAGCCCGGACTTGCAACATTGCCCAGGCACGTCCCACGTGTCCTAGTTCGAGCTCCACAGGCCGATTTCCCAAAGAGCAATAAGGACTTTGCAAACAGCAAATAGTCTTTGTGCTACTGCAGCGAAACAGACAAAGTAATTTGTTTGTAAAGACCCATTTTGAGTATTCGAGTGGGGGCCAAACCAAACAGCAGCAGCAGAGCAGGAACTGGGGCTTCTTCCTGTCCCACACCTGTGCTCCTCCCAGCTCATACCACCTCTCTGACAGTCACCCAGCACACTCCTTTCCTCCTCTCTCACTGGCCACCATGTTGTTGTACAACGAGCTGCATCAGTGGGCAGTAAATCACAACGGGAGACGGTCACCCCAGACTACAAACACAGGCGTAGCTACCAGTTGGGATCTTGTCTAATATTTGTCTGCCATCACCCCATCTCGTACGTCATCACAGGAGACTTGGTTCTACCTTGATCACTCCTGGCAAATTAGGCAGCCCTGTTCCTGAAAGTCTCAGAGGACAAAATTCTGCACCCCGTGCCCTGGCAGTCTGAGTGTTTTAACTACACTTAGAGACTAACACGCATCTCCCTTCTGACAACAAAACCATTGCTCCATTCTGTTTCAGCTCCTCTGTTTGCTTCACTGTCAGGACTTTAAGAACCCACACTAAAGAAAGGAAAAAAACAAGAGTAGAACCTTGTACTCCATCAGCTTAGCTTTAAAAGCAGAGAGCTCAGGCCTGTGCTGTTATCAAGCACATGCTGACCAGCACCAGGCTCAGAGTCCAGGCAAAGCCCAGCTCCTGCCGACTTACAAATATGACCATGATGACGAAGGCTGCCAGATACGAAGTCCTGGCCATCCACATGCTGACAAAGCGATAGTGCTCCCCAGACACCACATTGCGAAGGAAACCTGGAGATAAAAACCAAACATAAACACGTAAGCTCAGTGTGATTAACCCACAAACGAGGAACAAACTCCCAGTGCCTTCCAAAGGAACAGGATTTAAAGCAAATCCATGGCAACACCTCCTCACGGCAGCACTCATTGTCATGCAGCGCAACACGGCAGTAGGAAGTCACGTTCGCAGACACCTCTCCCCTCCTGCCTGTTTCCCTTTGTCCTTGACAATAACATCTCTACATGACACAGGGAACTGTTCCCTGCATTAGAGATGAATCACTAGTCAGAAGATGACATTCATGCATCCA